GCACATCGCTGAGCAGGATGCCGGCGGCGGAGGTCCAGGCCGGGGCGCACCTTGACCGTGCCGTCGCTGGAGCATGAGGCCAGGGCCACGCCGTCGCGCGTCGAGCAGAGGTCCCACACACGCGAAGTGTGGCCGGTTAGCTGGGCAATGGGTCGGAGGGTGTCCGTGTGCCAAAGGCCGATGGTCCCGTCGGAGGAGCCGGTGGCCACCGAGGTGCCGAGCTCGCCGACAAACTTGCAAGTCTTCAGGCTGGCCGAGGCCCGGGTTGAAGTGGTGCGGATGGAGTTCGGGATGGGCCGCAGAGGGGGGTCATCGAGGAGGCTGTGCTTGAAGAGGGGGGGGGGGGGGGGGGGGGGGAGCCGGGGGGGGGGGCGGGGGCGGGGATGGGAGGGGGATACACCCTTCCCCGTGGGGAGGAGGGGGACCGGGCCGGGCCGGGCCGGGGGGGGGGACCGTGGAGCCCGCGAGAGGCGTGTGTGGTGCGGCAAAGGGGCGGGGGGAATAACGTCGTGGTGTGGGGGCGGTATCCCCCCGGTCCTGGCACTGTGTCTGGTTGTGGTCCTGGGGAGAACGGGGGCGGGGGAACATCCCCGGCCTCTGTCGTCCTCTGCTGCGAGACATCGGGAAGGGGGTGGTGGGGGGTGGGGCGGAGGGGGGGGGGGCCGGGGGGAGTGCAGGTGTGGATGTTATATTTTGGACCGGTGTGGCACGGTCTGGCCATCAGATTTAGACCTCTCTCCGTGACTCGTTTGCTTTTTTGGTTTAAACAAGGTTCGGCCTTTCGCCCCCTTCCCCCCTCCCCCTCCCCTGCTCCTCTCCTCTCCCGGCTTCGGTTCTCTCCCCCCCCCACTCTCGCATGGGGCGACACGGCACTCCGTGCGATTTCGACGCGCTTGTGTGTGTATCTGTGCCGCGTGTGTCTTCTCCTCTCCCCTCGATGTGCGCGCGCCGGCTCGCCACGCTGGTCTGTGACGGGTCAGCGCTCGTGCTTCGCTTTGGAACCACTCCGCCACTACCACCATCGCCGGCACGCGCACCGCCATTGTCGCCGCCGCCGCCGCCGCCCCCCCTCCGCGTCGCGCGCGTGCACCAAGTCAGCGCATTCTGAGTTGTGACGGCGTGTGTCGGATTCCACTTTGCGAAGTAACATCCGACGCTCGATCGGCCAGCCCACTTGCGTCTGGCCCATCCCCCCCCGCGCGTGCGCGCGCATGCGTGTCATGCTCGAGAGGACGCGCCCTCCTGCCGTGGACCCTCCTCTCCTGTCACATCATCTCCGCTTGTTGCTCTTTATCTATCGTGTGTATGTCTCTCCAAGTTTCGCTCCCCCCTCCTCTAACGCGATCGTCCACGCTTGTCCTCTCTCTCTCTCTCTCCTCCCCATCAGTCTGAAGAAGGGTAGTAAAAATGGCTCGCCGTCCCGCCCGCTGCTACCGCTACTGCAAGAACAAGCCTTACCCCAAGTCTCGCTACAACCGTGGTGTCCCCGACCCCAAGATCCGCATTTTCGATCTTGGCCGTAAGCGCGCCCACGTCGATGACTTCCCCCTTTGCATCCACATGATCTCTGGTGAGTACCAGCAGCTCTCTTCCGAGGCTATTGAGGCTGCCCGTGTTTGCGCCAACAAGTACCTCTCCAAGACCGGTGGTCGTGACTCTTTCCACATGCGTATTCGCATCCACCCCTTCCACGTCATCCGCATCAACAAGATGCTTTCCTGCGCCGGTGCTGATCGGTGCGTGTGACGCCATGCCACCCTATTGCTTCTCTCTCTCTCTCTCTCTCGCGAGCGCCGCGTCTCCTTCCACCTTTTTCTCGTGTGCCCATGCGTGTGTCGCGTGCTCCTGCGCCTGTCCGTTGTTGCTGACTCCCCTCCCCCGGCGCGCGCCCCCCCTTCCTGGTGCATTTTCGTTTCTCGAATCTCTCCTCCCCCTCCCGTCTCGGATGAAAAAACACCCTCGCACAACACAGTCTTCAGACCGGTATGCGTGGTGCCTACGGTAAGCCCGCCGGTACCGTTGCCCGTGTCAACATCGGCCAGATCCTCCTGTCCGTCCGTTGCCGTGACAACAACCGTGCCAACGCCATCGAGGCCCTCCGCCGCGCCAAGTACAAGTTCCCTGGCCGCAAGACCATCGTCGTTTCTAACAAGTGGGGCTTCACCAACCTCACCCGTGACGAGTACCTCGAGAAGCGCGCCAACAACCAGGCCATCCCTGACGGCTGCTACGTCAAGTACATCAACAACCGCGGTACCCTCGAGAAGTACTTCGACACCGTCCAGACCCACTTCTAAGCAGTTGTGGAGCCCTGGTCGGCCGGTGTGCTCGATTGAGGGCGTGCGCATAGGGACCCCCCCCGTTCCGCCGCCTCTCCCCTTTGTCTCGCTGCCCTGGCAGACCGGGGGGGGGCTGGCCACCCGTGCGGGTGTGTCCATGTGTTGTACTCCTGTGCTTGTGTCCTCTCTCTCCCTCTCTCGTTCCCCCGGCGTGCGCGTGTGTGCCTGTCCCCCGTGTTGTGCACCGAGGCGGCCGCTGTTGCTCTGCTCTCCTCCCCCCTCCCGTGTAGTTGCCGCAGTTGTTGCCGCCTGAGAGCGCGCGAAATGATTTCCTCTCTCTCTCCTCCCTCCCTTGTTGTGTTGTGTGTGTGTGTGCACACCTCGAGCGCGTGCTCGGCTGCCCCCGTGCTGCTCCGTGTGAACGAGGCTACACACACCCTGTGTGTGCCCCGAATTAGACGAACCACTCGCCTTTTACACTCCTTTTCTTCCTCTCCTTCTTCTCTCCGCGGGTGTCCGTGGGTTATTCCTTGTGGGCCAAAAAGGGCGGAGGAGGCCCGGGCATGTATTTTTTGTCCTCCAAGAGACGGGGCCGAAAGGGGGTTCCCCAGTTCTGGGGACTCCCCTCTGGCCGGCGCGGAGGACGGACCTGCGCAAGGGGTGTGTCGCCCCCTACGGACTCCTCTCTCTCTCTCCCGGGCGGGGGGAGTGCAGGCACACCTTCCTCTCATGCCTAGGGGGGGGGCTCCTATTGTTCCTTGAGGTTGGGGCATCAGGGAATGTTTATTTGCCCGCGCACGTTGCGGGGGATGCAGGGGGAACGACGACTGTCCGTGCCCCGGGCCCTGTCGGAGCCGGCTTTCCGGGGCTTCCTGTGCTTGCCCCCTTGTGGCGGTATGCGTCTCGGTTCTCACCCGGAGGCCGGATTGAGAACCGGCCCAGGTACCGAAGATTGGCCCAGGGTCTTCGGGATTTCTCCCACTCGGCCGAATTGGCGGCGGGATTTTTCTACCGGCCGGCTGGCAACACATTCGCGGCTAAAAAGTCCACTGACGGTAGCCATTTCGCGGCAGCGCCTCGCCGAGGGGAAAACACCACTGCCCGAAACTCGTTACCACAGGAGACTCGGATGGATATGGTCGCACAGAAAAGCCGGCTGGCGGAATCCGGGCCGGGGCGACATGCCAGAACTCCAGAGGGTGGTATTGGGTATAGGGCAGGGAGTATGCCGCAGCTTGGCTGGCCATTCCTGGTTCGCTACTGCCCGGGGCGCGCACCCTCCGGTGCACCAGTACTGGCATCTGGACAGCCGGCCGGCGCGGGAACACCAGTCCGAGAAAGAGTGGTCACATGGCGGGCTTCGGAGCCGCTCGGGGCTCGAGGACACACGGCCTGGAGAAGGTATTCCTGTAACTGATGTCTCCCCTCTCTCGGGCCAGTGTCGGCACAAGTTTAGCCATCCACATTAGCCGCAATGGTAGCTTAATTGATCCACTCATTGAGTTGGCCACAGTGAATCGTTTGTACGATCGTGTTCCTACCGCCGGCCGACCGTGACAGACTCTTCCCCGTTGCCCCGTTCTGTTCGCGGCAGAGGCATCAGCCGCGGCTGCCACTGGCGACGAGGCTTGGGTCGAGAGTGGGTCGAGCAAGATCTTCCGCAGCGAGCGGGCAGGCAGGCGGACGGTCCCCCTGTTTGGTGGATCTCCCCCGTGGACCTCTGCTTGGCCGGTTGTTGAGGGACCTCCAGGGACATGCCATGTTTGTGTCCCCGTTCCTTTGGGCTCCCCTGTGCGTATGTGTGTGTGCGCGCGAGGGGAGCTCGAAGAGCGTGGTATTTGATCGCAAGGGCCGAGGGGGGGGGGATTGCATTTTCTGAATTGTGTATTTGGTTGGAGATACCTCTCTCCCGTGGGAGGGAGTGGAGTGGTGTTATGGGGGGCGAGGGGGAGGGGAGAGAGGGAGAGAGGCAGAAGAGACCACCGGGAGGAGGGTGCACTCGGGACAAAGAGCAGGCCATTCGATGGGCAGGCCGGTGTCTCTGGCCCAGTGCGTCGGCGGCCGTGGCACACAGCGCAAGTGACATGCATGGCATTCACACACACACACACGCGCCATGAGATGGGGGCATCTGTTTCGTTCTGTGAGGAGGCCGCAACACTGGCGGGGGGGGGGGGGGGGGGG